ATGTACGTAGTTTGCACTATATATTATGTTGCTAATATTTACTTATCATAAAGAATATTTACTTATATAATCACTTTAAAAGTAATCGATTGTGTAACTATTTTTTTTTTTTATATTAGTAGTATAGTGGACTTGTAAATGTGAACAGATCGAAGCCGGAGGGAGTGCTAATGTTGAAGCTTGTGTAATACTCTTTTAGTTCATTTTTACTTGTCACTGTTTGACTTGATACACCCATCACACACAGACACAATATTAGGTCTTGGGAAATGATCTGAAAAATAAGTATTTAATGCTGAGAGTAAAACATGAAAAAAAATACATCTTTTCTTGATAAGTCAAAAATAAAAAATAAAAATAATAATTTATTTTAGGATTAAATGACAAGTAAAAGTGAACATGAAAATATTTAATTTAATTAAACACAAGATGTGCCCTTTAATGTTATTAGTAGTCACTAGTACATAACAAAGGACAAAGCTATCATTTAATACCCAAATTGGACATGGCTGGCTGTCTCCCTAATATAATACTTTAGAAAAAAAAAAATTGAAGAAGAAGAAGACAATTTCTTCCATTTTACCCATCTCTATAAGATCTGTTTGCTTTTCTGTCTACATGCTCTTCTGTTATTTTCTTGTGAATAAATGCTTGCTTTTTTTTCACTTTATATTTCAACATTAAATTAGCAAGTTGACCATCAAAAATATCAATTTTTTACTCACAATTAATGTGTCATACATGTTTTTCTCCTTTCTTGCAGTTGAAGATTTTTGACAAAAATGGATGTGTCTAAAATCTAATAGAGGAAAAAAAACATTGATATAATAGGCGAAATCAAAATTTTCACTAAGTACAGATTTAAGATTAAAAAAAAATATTTAGAAAAGTAAAAAAAATTCAATCTTTACGCTATCTTACATAGTAAAATATAATCTTTTGATAAAAAGAATTATGTATCTCAACTTCTCCCATGCTAGTATAGTACTTATTGTTGAAGGAAGCTTGAAGACTGATGGAACATGTCGAAGGAACAGGTCCGTCGAAGGAACAGGTCCATCGAAGCAGGCTGACGAGTTAGAATTAGAGTCATACTAGGACTAGACTACTAAATCCTAAGTTATGTACGACTAAGCTACTGTATATTGCAGGAGTCGACTAGGATAAGGTATTTGAGTTATAATACAATACTTACTACTCATGTAAATAATTGTGTTGTAGTAGTTTCCTAGTATAACTAGAATAAGACTCTTCTCCTATATAAGGAGCTTGTAACTCAATATTATAATCATCAATACAATCCTTGATTTCTCTAATTCTAGACGTGAGATTTCTACATGGTATTAGAGCAGGGCCCGTCTCACCCGATGTTGGGGCCCCCAAAATAAAAATTGCCCACGCACCAGATGCTAAGCACTGGGTGTGAGGTGGGGTGTTAAAGAATGACAAAAGTCTCACATCGGTGGTTAATGAGATGGGTGGACTCCTTATAAGGCTTGTGCAATCCTCTTCCCTTTGAACTAGCTTTTGGGGTGTGAGTTAAGACTAAGACCTAATTTAACATGGTATCAGAGAACTAAAGCCTTTTCGCTCTTTAACGTATTTGATCAAAACCAAAACAACCATAAAATCGAACCGCAATGGCCCCTTCTACCAACACTCTTTCGATCTCTTCACTTCATCATCTTATTTCATCTTGCTCCATTAAACTTAAGCCAACGAATTATCTTATATGGAGGACACAAATGTCTCAGTTGATTCAAGTGATAAGATTAACCACCTCATCACAGAACCACCTAAAGATACTTGTTCCACTGGAAAGACTACTGAGAAAACTGTAGCAGGCGAGAAGGGTGCAGAAGACAGCAACATTGTTGATGACTAGGAGGAGAAGGATGTGTTGCTAATGAGTTGGATCTCAGGCACCTTGACAGAACAAAACATGTACTTGATTGTAGGCTACTCAACTGCCAAAGAGATGTGGGAATGCTTGGAAGAAGCTTATCTTCAAGCAATAAAAGATAAGGAGTTCCAGCTCAAACAACAACTGCAAAATGTGAAGCTAGGAACCAAAACAATTGACGAGTATATTAAGGAATTCAAAGGCATATGTGATGGCCTTGCAGCCATTCACAAGCCTGTAGATGAAGATAGCAAAATGATTAATTTTGCTAGAGGTCTAGGTCTTAAGTACAAGACCTTCAGGACTGTCATACTAGGTAAGGCACCATATCCTACTCTTAATCAATTTGTTAATGCTCTCAGGGGTTTTGATACGAGGGAGAATGAAGTAGAAGTGCCTCAACAAAATCATAACATGGCATTCTCTTCCCAAAGAGGCAGGGGAAGAGGAAACTACTCTCAAAGAAGAGGAAATAATAATTTCAATTCTAGAGGAAGAGGCTTTAAGCCTGCTGGACAAAGAACATGTTCTTATAACAGCAGAAATGGACCAGGTCCTCAGAACAGTTCTTCAAGTGGAAGTCATGAGAGGAACAATATTGATACGTGTAAAATCTGTGGTAGGAATAACCATACTGCTTTTAAGTGTTTTTATAGGTGGGATTACTCTTACCAAGCCGCAGATGAGCTATCACAAGCATTGACTGCTTCTAATCTACAAAACACTACTGATGACACCTTGTATGTGGACTCAGGAGCAGGTAGCCATAGGACACATAACTCAGGTATCCTAACTGATCTTAAACACTGCAATAGACCAGATAAAATCATTATTGGGAATGGATCAAAGTTAGATATAACACATGTTGGAAACATATTTGGATCAGGTCTAAAGTTAAAAGAAGTTCTTGTAGTCCCTAAGATTAATAAAAATCTACTCTCAGTTAGTAAGCTTGCAAAGGATAATTGTTGCACTCTTGAATTTGATAAAACTAACTTTATTGTAAAGGACAAGAAAACAAGGACACTGCTGGCCAAAGGAACTAAAAGGAATAGACTTTACGCTTTGGAAGATAACAATCTCTATGCTTTGACTGCTACACACAATTGGAACACGTCAGATAACATGTGGCATACTAGATTAGAACACCCTAGTTTGAAGTCTTTAAAAGTTTTGAATAGTAATTGTTGCATCAATATTAGTAGTTGGAATAAAATGCCTATTGTTTGTTCCAATTGTCAGTTGGGAAAAAGTTGTAAACTTCCATTTGGTTTGAGAAATAAAATTGAGAAAGAACCTTTATTGAAAATACATTGTGATTTATGGGGACTTGCTCCTGTCGAATCTTCCCAACATATGAAATATTATGTTGTTTTTGTTGATGATCACATAAGATATACATGGATTTATCCACTGGAAAAGAAATCTGAATTCTTTGAGGTCTTTATAAAATTCCAGAAAATGGTGGAAAAACAATTTTCTAAAGAAATTAAGATTTTCAAGTGTGATGAAGGTGGTGAGTTTATCCAAACAGACTTCATTAAGCATTTGGAAGATTGTGGCATCGTGTGACATATTTCATGTCCTAACACACCTGAACAAAATGGAGTTGCAGAGAGAAAACATAGGCATATTGTAGAGACTGGCTTAACTCTACTACTTCATGCTAATCTACCTTTGTTTCTTTGGGTTGAGGCTTTCCTCACTGCAGTATTTCTCATCAATAAACTGTCCTCCTCAGTTCTAAAGATGGTGACTCCATTTGTTAAGTTGTATGGGGAACAACTTGATTACAACAACAACAGCCTAAAAGTGTTTGGTTGTAGATGTTTTCCATCTATCAAGGGTAGCAACAAATTCAGTCCAAAGACCTACCATTGTGTGTTCATAGGGTACAACAGCTTACACAAAGGGTATAGATGTTATCATCTCCCTACAAGAAGGGTTTTCATATCCAAACATGTTGTGTTTGATGAAAACACATTACCCTATGCGTCTCCAAAGCAATCTCAGACTAACGTTGATGTCTCACCTTACCTTGCTACTTTTGTTGAATCTTTTTCTAAATTGCAGGCACATGATAAGTCTGATTCAGGGAAAGTACAGGCTGTTAGTCCACACATTACTAGTGATAATGCTGCTATAACTCATATACTTCTTGATGATGAGAGTACTATTGACTTCTCAGGCGAAGGATCAGATGCTGAGGAACAGGTTGAATGTGATGATTTATACAGTAGTATTGAAACTCCACCTGTAGATTTTGGATCTGCTAGTAGCAGTGAGGAACAGGTTGTACTTACAGGTCCAGCCAATGAGCATCATCAAACAACTACTTTAGTTGATGTACCAGTTGACTATCAATCTGACAATGCTACACTCCATTCAACTATTTTGGTTGATGTACCAGTTGAGGTACTTCCTGCACCACAAGGGCATCATATAATCACTAGGCACAAGGCGAAGGAACATCACTTGTCACTTGTTGCTTGCAGCAGCACAAAATTTTTGAGAAAACCAAGTACTACTAAAGAAGCACTAAGGTCACCTCATTGGCTTGCAACAATGCATGAAGAAATTGATGCTTTGCATACTAACAAGAGATGGATTTTGGTGCCCAAATCTCTTGGTATAAATTTGGTTGGCTCAAAATGGGTGTTCAAGACAGAGTTAAAAGTTGATGGGACAGTAGATAAATACAAGGCCAGACTTGTGGCAAAGGGATTCTCGCAGCTTGAAGTGATAGATTTTGATGAAACATTTAGTCATGTGGTTAAAGCCACAACTATTAGGGTGGTTCTATCCATTGTTGTCAGTTCAAAGGGGAAGTTGGACAATTAGATGTCAAAAATGCCTTCTCCATGGCTTCCTACAAGAGGTAGTGTACATGAGTCAACCTCCTGGTTTTGTTGATCCCCAATATCCTCAGCATGTGTGTCTACTTAAAAAGGTATTGTATGGTCTTAAACAAGCACCAAGAGCCTGGTTTGACAAGTTTATCATGCATATCTTACACATTTGTTTCATTTGTAGTAAGGCTGACCCTTCCTTGTTTATTTTGCGAACTCAAAAAGGCAAAATATTTCTCTTGTTATATATGGATGATATTATTGTCACAGGAAGTAATCCATCTCATGTCTCAATGTTGGTTCTCCAACTTGAGAAGGAGTTTGCTATGAAAGATCTTGGCCCTTTACACTTCTTTCTAAAAGTTGAGGTGAAGTATTTCGAAGGAGGAATTCACTTGAATCAAAGCAAGTATGCTGCTGAGTTGCTGGCCAAGACAGAGATGACTTTGTCCAAGGCTGTTGCCATTCATTTGGCTCAGAAGCATGGTTTGAATGAAGTTGTGGGAAGTCTTGTAGATGCCTCCTTGTACAGAATGATAGTAGGGAGCCTTCAGTATTTGACCCTCACAAGACCTGATATCACTCATGCTGTGAATTTAGCAAGCCAGTTTATGCGAAGTCCAAACACTGAACATCTTCAAGGGGTAAAAAGGATTCTCAGGTACATCAAAGGTACTCCACACTTTGGACTCAGAATTATTTCATAGTCTCCATGTAGGTTGTATGGCTACTCAGATGCTGATTGGGGAGGTTGTACCACCACTAGGAGATCAACTACAGGCTATAACATCTACCTAGGTGCAAATTGTATCTCTTGGACCTCCAAGAAACAAACTACAGTAGCCCGATCGAGTGTTGAAGCTGAGTATAGAGCACTAGCCTCCACTGCTGCAGAAATGACTTAGATTTTGTATCTTCTTCATGACCTTGGAGTGTTCCTTCGATCTGTTCCTACGTTGTACTGTGATAACATGAGTTGCTTGTACATGACGGTTAATCCAGTTATGCATGCTCGAACCAAACATGTTGAAATGAACTATCATTTTGTTCGTGAAAAAGTGGTCAGGGGACAACTTCTTACTCAGTTTATGCAGTCTAAGGATCATCTAGCTGATATTCATACCAAAGCCGTAACAAAATAGGTTTTCTCTGGTTTTTGCAGCAAGCTAGGAGTTACAGTTCCTCCACTCACTAGCTTGAGGGGAAGTGTTGAAGGAAGCTTGAAGACTGATGGAACATGTCGAAGGAACAGGTCCATTGAATCAGGCTGACGAGTTAGAGTTAGAGTCATACTAGGACTAGACTACTAAATCCTAAGTTATGTACGACTAAGCTACTGTATATTGCATCAGTCGACTAGGATAAGGTATTTGAGTTATAATACAATACTTACTACTCATGTAATAATTGTGTTGTAGTAGTTTCCTAGTATAACTAGAATAGGACTCTTCTCCTATATAAGGAGCTTGTAACTCAATATTATAATCATCAATACAATCCTTGATTTCTCTAATCCTAGACGGAAGATTTCCACACTTATTAGTCGTTACCTACAACAAATGAATGAGATATGTGAAATACATATAAACATTTATCACTTAATCATAAATAAATGAGTTTAAATTGTTTAATTTAATGTAAATAATAAAGGTAGGTAAATATTTCCATTACAAGTAAGTGAGTAAATTAAAGATTCATTAGTTTAGGCTACTGTTTTTAGCATGGAGGAAATAATTTTTTTCGTTGGCTAGAAAGTTCGCAATCGTTATTATTTGAGTGTACGTGTATAAGATAAATTATGTGTAATAGCTCGTAAATTATATAGAGAAGCAAATGCGAATTCAATATAGAAATTTTTGTGCGCACATGAATCCACAATCTCTTCACTAGCTAAACAAGATATGTTGTGTACATATTCGGTAGAATTAAGCTGATACCTTTTGGTACACCTGATTGAATACTAAGTTATTTATGCAAATGAGTAAGGATATTTTTTCCCGATAAATACATTTTTATTTTCTTTCTTTAATAGTGTATTCATGTTTTAGAAATCTTAATTAGATCCACCTTTGGAAAGGTAAATTATACAAAACAAGTCGCATGACCAAGAAAGTCTAAAAAAATAAAAATAGGTATCTTTTTAAAACATGTTTTCCTCAAAAAAATTTGACAAAACATATCGAAAATCTCCCTATATCTCATTTCTAGCAAGTTGTTCCACACCCCACCACCATATCCCAACCCCCACGTCGCACCATAATAGTAGTCACGTTATATTTTAAAAAAAATACATCTTAAACTATCAGTCAATTTGCAATATAATCCTCGGATAGTCATGAAATGTGATAGAAGTAAAGGAAACAAAGGAAAAGTATATATATGATAAATTCACTTTTTTTTAATGCAACAAATATTTCATATCAATTATAGTTTGTAGCTAATTATACTTGATGAATGTTCCTTGGATACCAGTAGTGAATAGAAATTGTTATAGTAGTTAAATATAAATTGTTTGCAAAAACATATCACATGCAGTTTGATCAAAGCTCAGAGCAAGTGGGACAACAAATCATCTTCACTATTTTCTCTAATCCCCATATCCAACCCACTCTGCTGACCAAATCTACACATTATC